ATATATATTCTATTGCATATATATATATATCATCTAATATCTACTATATATATATCTATATCTCTCATCTCACACTTTCTCTCTCTCTCTCTCTCTCTCATTATATCTATATTACTATTTAACTATACATATGATACATATAGGCTGTATATCTATTATACATGTCTATATATTTACATATATATATTATATATATGCATATATTAAATAAAATATATATATATATATATATATAATATTATATATAATACTATATATAATATACACACGCTATATATTTTACATAATTACATCTAGCTTTATATATATATATATATATATATATATATATATAGATATATATTTATATATATACATATATACATACCATATATCTATTATATCTAATATATATCATATACACATATATATACATATATATTATATATATATTCATATATCTATCTATCTATATCCTATATATATATATATCTATTCTATTGAATAAATATATCTACATATATAATATATATATCTCTCTATACTATTACTCTCTCTATATATCTCATATATCTTTAGATTATCTCTCTACATATATGAAATCATTATTATACTCTATATGTATCTAAATGCTCCTCTATATCCATTTGAATCTATATCTCTAACTAGTCTGTATCTACATAATATATCTAGATACGCTCTCCTCTGTATATATATATCTACGCTCATATCTATCTATATCTATATATAGATATATCTATATGATCTTTATATATATATATCCATATGTAATATATTATAAATACATATATATATATAATATACATATTCTAGATATACTCTATATATATTACGATCTATATATATACCTATACTCTCTCTCTATCTCATTATCTCTATTCATCTATCTGATGTGTGTGTAGTGAGTGTGAGTGTGTGTGTGTGTGTCTATTTATATATACTGTTTACTATATCATATTTACATACTCATATCTCCAGCTCTACATTATTCAGGATCTCATACATATTCAGATTATACATACCGTATACATAGATACATCTATATACATATCATCCTCTATATCGGTCCTCTCTCTCCGCACTACTGTCTCTATCAATCATATATCTATATATAGAATCTCTATATATATCTATATTATATACACATACATATGTATATATGCCATATCTACTCATAGCTATAATATTATATATAATATCTCTATATATATATATATATATATATTTAATATCTATCTATCTTTTATATCATATATCTATATATTTATATACATCTATCATCTCTTTCTATATCTTTCTATCTCTCCATCTCTCTCAATCTCTTCTATAGTCTTATCTATATAGTATCTCAATGTTCTCTCTGTCTATCTGTACTCTCTGTCTCTATGTCGCTCCTCTGTCCCCCCCACACCCTTTTTTTTTCCTTCTCCTTTGGGGGTTTTTTTCCCCCCTCCCTTATCTCTACAGATCTCTCTCTCTCTCTCTCTCTCTAATCTATCTTCTCTCCCCCTATTCTAGTTCGTCTGCATTCGCTCTCTTTCTCTCTCTCTCTATGTCTCTCATCTATCTCTCCGCTCCTCTGCTTCTCCCTCTGTAACTTTGTATTCTCTAGCTTCTCCTCTCTCTCTCTCTATCTACTCTCTCTCTCTATATCTCTCTCTCTCTGTACATATATAATACATCTATACCTACGTATCCATATTACATATCTACATCTATCTATCTCTCTTCTATATATGTCTTATCTCTCTCATACTCTATCATATATCATCTCACCACCCTACTATATAACTATATCTCTCTCTCTAACTATTCTCTCATATATCATCTCTATACTCTCTACCTACCTACTCTAGATATCCCTCACCTCTCATCTATATATCTCTCATATCTCTCTCTTCTCTCTCTACTCTTCTCATCTCTCATCTACTCCTCTCTCCCTCTGTCTGTGTATCTCTCTCTCTCTCTCTATCTATCTATTCTCTCTCTCTCTCTCTCGGATCTCTCTCTTTCCTCCTCTCTCTCATCTCTTTCATCTCTCTTCTCGCTCTCTCTCTCTATCTCTTCTCTCTTCTCATGTTTCTCTCTCATCTCTCATTCTCTCTGTATCCTCTAGTCGTCTCCTGCTCTCTCTGTTCTCTTCTCTCAGTCTCTCTTCTCTCTGTCTCTTGTCTCTCTGTCTATCTGTCTCTCTGTCTTGTCTCATGTCTCGTGTCTCTGTCTCTATCTCTCTCTCTCTCTCTCTATCTATTCTCTCTCATCTCTCCTCCTATTCTCCCCCTGTCCTCCCTCTCTCCCTCTCCCTCTCTCATCTCTTCTCATCTCTCTCATCTCGCCATCTCTCTCTCTATCTATCTCTCTCTCCTCTCTGTCTTCACTCTCTCTTCTTCTCTCTCTCGAGTATCTCTATCTCTCTTCTTCTCCCTCCTATCCTCTATTCTACTATATCTCGAGATCTCTCTCTCCTTCTCTCTTCTCTCTCCCCCTCCCTCTCTCTCGTCTCTCTCTCTATCTCTCTCTCCTCGCTCTCTTCTATCTCGTCTCGCATCTCTCTTATCTCTATCTCTTCGTCATACACTCTATCTCTCTATACTCTATTATTCTATCGCTATCTCTCTCTATACTCATCATCTATCTTCTCATCTCCTCTACCTTCTATCTTATATCTACCTCTATCTCAAATCATATCTCTCTATCTATATGTATCTCTACTATCTCTCTCTATCTATATATATACTACATCTCATCTCTCTCGATCATCTATACGATATCTCTATCTCTCTCTTATACTATATAATCATCATACTTATATTCCTAATCTCTGCTTTAGTATCCTCTCTAATCTATCTCTATATATCTATCTATACTTTTTTTATAGATTATATCCTATAATCTATATAATATCTATTATATCCATATATTATGATATATATACTATAATCACTCTATCTCTATATATCTACGTATATCGATACCTATCCTAATATACTCTATCTATATATATAAGATATACTATATAGTATAATACATATACTACTCTCATACATAAATCATACTATATATATATATATATATATCCACATATATATCTCTATATAGCAGAATATCTATATCATCTACGATATCTATATATCTCCTATATCTATTAACTTAATATATTATATATATCTAATACATATACTTATATATTTCATACCTCTAATATCTATCTATATCTAATCCATTATATATATATCTTATGCTATCTTACTGCATATAATATATATATAATATTACTACCTATCATACTACTATATATACTACCTATATATTCATATCTCAAGTATATCTATATATATACTATATATCATATTATCCTCATTATATCTATATAACCCATATCCATCTCATCATACTACGATCTATATATCATCTATCTCTATGTAATGTATATAGAGATATCTCTATAATATTAGCTACTCTTATGTCTCTACTACTCTCGATCACCTATCTTCTCTCTCTCTCTATCTACTCTCTCTCTCATTCTCGCATCTGTGCTCTGCTGTCTCTATGTCTCTATGTTCTCTCTGTCCCTCTGTCTATCTGTCTCTCTTTCTACTCTGTCTTATGTTTCTCTCTGCTTTCTGTCTTATGTTCTTTCTGTATTTCTGTCTCTATGGTCATCTCTTGTCTCTCTGTCTCCTGTCTTCTGTCGCTCCTGTCTATGGTGATCTCTCTGTCTCTATGTCTCTCTATCTCATCTTCTCTTCTCTCTCTCTTCTCTCTCTCTCTCTTCTCTCCCTCGCTCCATCTCTCTCTATCTCTCTCTCTCTCTCTCTCTCTCTCTCTCTCTCTCTCTCTCATATCGGCCTGTCTCCCTATCTCTCTCTCTATCTCTCTCTCTCTTCTCTCTCTCTCTCTCTCTCTTTCTATCTCTCTCTCTCTCTCTCCCTCTCATCCTACTGTCTCTCTCTCTTCCCTCTCTCGCTCTCTCTCTCTCTTCTCCTCTCGATTCTATCTGTCTCTCTCTCTCTCTCTCTATCTCTTTTCTCTCTCTCTCTCTTTCTCTCTCTCTTCTCTCTCTAATCTCTCTCTCCCATCTATCCCTCGTCCTCTCTCCACTCTCTCTCTCCCTCTCTCCCCTCTCTCCTCTCTTCCCTCTCTCCCTCTACCCCTCTCTCTCGCTCTCTCTCTCTCTCTTCTCCTCATCTCTCTCACTCTCTCTCTCTCTCTCTCTGTATGTCTCGCCTCTCTTCATCTCTCATCTGTTCTCCCTCCTCTCTCTCTCTCTCGCTCTCTCTCTCTCTCTCTACTCTCTCTCTCTTCTCTCTCTCTCTCTCATCTGTCTCTCTCTCTCTTCCCTCTCTCTGTGATATATCTGTCATCCTCCTCTCTGTCTCCTCTCTATCTCCCTATATATGTATATATATATATATACATATATATGTATATATATATATAATAATATGTATACAGTCAACTCCCCGTTAACGCGGGGGTTAGGTTCCTGGAGATACAGCGTTAACGAAAATCACGTTAACGGAACATAATTTCTCCATAAGAAATAATGGTAATAGTGGGGGTTAGGTTCCTGGACACTGGGAAAGTCTGCCTTCTTTGGGAATTTTATTACTAAGAAACCTAAAAATACACATTATTATATATCTAAAGGTTACAAAAACAATAAAAACACACTGTGTAGTATATTATTTGTACTATTGGAAGGCTCAATAACATAAATCTATTCATGTAAACAAACAAACGACGCATCAGACTCGTCACCACTGTCGGGTGGCGGGAAATTCAAACCGCGTATCTTCGAACATTTCACGCTAACAGAATATATCTCAATAAATTTTAACCCACGTAACTTCGAAATCATGTTATCGGAACTCGTGTTAACGGGGAGTTGACTGTACATGTAAATATACATATATACATATACATATACATATACATATATATATATATATGCACACACACACACACACACACACACACATACTTGGAAAATACTCTACCTTCTTCAGTAATGGCCTGCAGTAGGGGTTTCGTTCTCTGAATGTACAGGCACTTCCGTGATGTGACTCCAGGGAAATCAAGTTCAACAAATCCCTTTACATTTTTTCCTTCATCATACAGTCTCCAATAAAGTGTATCAAACCCTGCTCCAATATTCACAATCTGACAGTTGCCATGAGTTACCTGTAATGTGATAATATAATTACTAATAATTCTATCTTTTACACAGTTTTCAGAGAATATTTGAATATGAAAAAGTGTTTCTACAATATGACTGAGCCTATATTTCAGCATAAAGTTTTGAAATGCAAAGGCAAACTTTAACATTGCAATCCAGGACTACCAAATATTGTTGATGATTTACAAGTAATCAATACATTTTTTATGACACACAACCATAGAATACTTCCTTATTGATACGCAGCTAATATTTTTTTTAAATACACAGCCATTGAATGTTTTCTGTGAATGTTTGAAATATGAGGACTGAGAGAACCTCAAAATCATTATATTTTTGATGACATATGACACTTTCCATGATTATGTATTCACAATCATCATTCTTGAAGTATGTCAAAATCTTAGATACCCTAAACATGGTGGATATTTTGAGTGCAACTTCATAAAGACCATTCATTAACCCCTTGGTTATGGGTAACAGGACTATCACTTCATGAAAAGATTTGGCTGAGGGCCAGGTGACATGAATATGACTGAGGGCTGGGATTACGGGAATAAGAAGTCATAAGAACCTCAGTTGAAGGCTGGGGTGACAGGAATGACTTACCATGAGTGTAAATGCACAAAGATATTGGACAGTGATAAGGCTCAGTGACCATTTAGGAAGGGGGATAATTTCCATTGGTGAACAAGTGTGGATTGTACCATCCATGAGCCATGATTGGAAGATATTTTTGACTATACAGTGACAGCTTCAGGGAGGACACTATTTCTATGCTCAGGATCCTATTCCTGCCAACCAGATGTATTACAGAAAATTGAATATTACAAAATTATACAAAAAATTACAAAACTAACAAAATATTATGGATTGTTATTGTTACTGCACAGAATCATGGACTATCTATCTAGATAAAATGGTCCATTACCATTTTGATACAGCATATCAAAGGACAAATAAAGACCTTGGAAAATGGCAAAAATCACAAAAATCGTCTGTGTAGAAAGAGATAACATTGCATCTTGACTCCTCAAACAATTGTTCATGGGGGGCCAGGCAAAAAGCCATACACCTAAGAGAGTCACCACTCAAGTATGCCTAATGCCTGGATTCTGGGCCGCATGTGGGCAGTAATGCATTTGGATCCAGTGGGTTAAATTTTAGGAAAGTATACTCTCTTACTTCATGAGAATAATGTTGACACTATGCATCACAAATTATAAGATCTTAAGAAGGTAATATGGTCAGCACATTACTTTATACTAAGAAGATAAACAATATACTAGACTATAAGGATTGGGTATACACATTAGAAAGAGCTTCCAGGATGTGGTCATAGGAAATAATGATTAGTGTGTGGTGGGTAGGGTGTTAGGAGACACTCAGTCACCATGGGAGAGTCACAAGATGTAGAGAAACAGTGCAAGAGCTACCTTATTAGAGAGGCAATGACTACAGACAAAGGTTGGAAACACTTGATAGAGGAAGTCTTAGCAGTTGATGGAGCCCTAAGGAATTGGTTGTTTCAAGAGTTTCCCATTGCTGGAGTATACCGTCTGTTAGCACACCTGCCCAGCATACTCTTAACACACTGGACAGTTTCCCCATCCCTTGGGATGAAAAGTTGAAAAACTGATCAACATGGCCAAAGCCCCACTGTAATGTATGTTCCACATTATTGGAGAACAATAAACTTACAAATGCAACCCTTTGAATCAACCAGGACCAGCCCCCTCAATCATTCTTTCACTCTGACAGATTAACTCCTTACTGACGGGTTAAGAAAATAAAAAAAACTCTACAATCTGGAGATTTATGGCAATGAGCCGAATTTGAGTGTGGGAGTTCACTACATCAAGCCGAACCCCCAGCTTATAGAGCTTTGGCACGTCACTGCGGCGTACAGCTACACTCCACAGATCGAGCAGTTTATTATGACGTCTCGGCACATGCCCTGTCGGTATGGGTTTAACCCCTTCCTGATGGGTCACAACTATAGGTGTGAAAACAAACCGCTCAAAATGTGGCATGCAGCTGTACGCCGTGGTGGTACACCAAAGCGCAGAGAGTTGGAGATTCGGCTTGATGTACCTAACTCCCACACTCAAAGTCAGCACACTGCCATGGATTGCCAGAGTGTAGAGTTTTTTTTTTGTTTTCTTAACCCATCACCAAGGGGTTAAGAGTAGTTATAACGGCACATCCAGATATTACTGGCCTAATTCAGACACCAACCCACAAAAAACCTATTGACTACCAAGTAAAACTTTATTAACCCATTCGTGCAGGGTAAAAATGAACAAAAAATGGGGGAAATGCTGTGCTCTTTTTTTTTAATTTTTTAATGAAATTTCTCTACACTAGATGGCTCTGCTTTACCGGATTTCATTTGGCGGGAAAATGTATTTTTACTAGTGCTATGAATATCGATGGTTATTTTTATTATAAACATTATAATTACTATAATGTTATAAACATTAGTAACAGCAAAATAAGATAACGCAAAATAATTTCGTAAATTAAAGAAAAGGGTAAACAGACGAGACAGGCAGTACAAGTGCAAGTGGAACCATCTATGTTTGTAAACAATCAAACAAGTAAACTGACAGTGGGCCCGTCACATATACGTGACGCCCGGCGCGAATGGGTTAAGACAGAATGAATGGATATCACCACTAAACCTCGCCATGAAAACTGAAAGAATCTGGTAATCTTGAGGCAACTACTGACACTGAACAACATAACAGGGGCTGACCACTACCTACTACTCCCCTGATGAATGTTACTGATAGTATAAAACTTGGTTTGGATGGCCTACTTTTGATGTATACTGTCAAGTTATAGTAACTTTTGGTCCAGAGAAAACAATAAAGGCAATTATTGTATCATATCAGGATTCAAGGTGAGTTGCAGTACATGAACTGATGGCCACTGACTTCACAATCTTGAGTCATTTAGTAATAACTGAGGCCTCCATGCCTACAGTATTCTGGAAAAGATTAATAATCCTTCTACACACGTCTGACCAGATATGCCCTCAACCAGTCGACAAACTCTGTCTAGCCATAATATATGTGGTGGAGGTTTGATTGTCTTTTAGCTTAGCAATCAGAGTTGCACTAGCCACGGCAATTGCTTCATGCACTACCACTCTATAGTTACAATTGTTGGTTTCCACAAACTCACACTACAGTATCTACACAATGTGCATCGAGTCTAATTAAAAAAGTAATAAGAAATCTGATTGTTTTATAAAGACATAGGAAATGAAATACATATGGCAGCTATTATATAATGAGGAATGAAGGAAAGCATGACAAAACTGTAAAACAAACAATGAAACATACACACAAACACACACACACACACACACACACACACACACACACACTCTCTCTCTCTCCTATGATGGAGATGGAAGAAAACTATTTACCTCAACAAATTTATCAACAAGCAGCTTGATTGCCACACATCGCGCAAAGTAACCACGATTAATCTCCGGCGCCTTGCGATCTGTAGATCTCACAAAATAGCTAATATATCTGTCTCGCCAATATCCCATGGCCACTGCACACCTCTTGCAAGAACTTGCGTCGTCATTAGTAGCTATGACAGCTTCATCATTCCCCACACTGTCCATGTTAGCTGGTGCAACAGCGTTGGGAAGTGCCCCGAAGTAGAGAATATGTTCAACCTCAGGAAAATATCTCGGAGTTGGGTAGAGCCTCTGAATTACGGAATGCCTCCTCCTCTGCGAGTATTTCCTTCTTATAAAGTGTTTCTTGATTATAAAGTATGTGTAAATGGAAAAGTGTCTGTGGACTAGAGTGTGTTCCAGAGGCAGAAAGCGTTGTCCCGAAATCCGTCAAGAAGTTTGTAAACATTGCAGCAGACGATGGACTCGGCAAGAGTAGTCGATAAGTCGCTTAAGAAATAGATTGTAAAAGGACAAATGCCAATTGAAATGAAAAATAAATGACAAATATTTTTCAATATCACATTAGTATTTTTCATGGTTCATTGTTCTGTTGAGCTTTATTTGCATATTTAGGATTACTATTAGAATTACTTTTGCCATGTCCTAACTTTAGTGTAAACATCGGTCAGCAGTTGACGTCGAAGGAATTTGTTAGTTGCATTTATCAGCCACCTTTCTGATATCATGCAG